TTTCCCTAGACATACTTTTCTGTCTACAAATGTATTTCTGTTAAGCTTGTTATATAGTGTTTTTACAAATGATACTGAATACACTGTAATAAACCAGCACTAATTTCAGCTTGCTTCATGCAAAACAACAGAATAACAGACTTATTCTGAGATACATCTGAGACTTCAAGAAAAATGAAATGTTCTTAATACAAAACGTGCTATGTTGAAATTGGGATAATACTTGAAATGGTATTCATTTGCAGACTGAAGGGACCATTAGATCTTGTCACCTGGTGGTCTGTGCACATCATGCTATTGAAAAATTGGAGGAAGTTAATTCATCTGTGTTTGCTGCATACCCTCCAGAAAGACAGACAATCAATTAAGTGACTTGGGGACATCACTCTACCATTTTCTATGATCATCTTTTCCAACAGCTAATCTCTCTTACTGTTCACAATTTCTGCTTTATTTCCAATCACAACTTGTCAAGGATGAGCTTTCAGACAGTGGTTCTCTTTGTACCCTCCTGCATTACACTGCAGAGAAGTGTAGAAAACAGCATTTTCTGTTAAAGTACTTACAGGTAAAATCAAATCTCAGCCCTCATTCAGACTGGTTGATAAGGTTTTTAAGACTCTCCCTGCAAGGAATCATTTCCAATTCATGGAGCAGTGCATCCTCTCCCACAACCCAGTGCTCCTTCTAAAATAGGAAAGCCAGACCTCCTAGTTCTTCTGCTCCTTTATCGTTCTTGATGTTGCGTATAGAGGCAAAAGTAGCTTATCCCCACACTCGGCCTCTTGCTTTTCACAGTAAAAAACTATACTACCTCCTTTTGCCTCTTCGTTACACTGGGAGATCAGGTGGGCACCCCTGGGCCACGCTGACTTCTGATCCTTTTCACGATCATGGCTTTATCTGACCAAGTCCCTTACTGTGTAACCGTGACTTCCATTCCTAATTTCTCCCTGCCCAGCTCTCTTCTCAGCTGTGTAAATCTGCATTTGGTTTGAACGGCATTCACTAAATGCGATCAGTGATGGTTCTCCATTTACTTTCAGATCATCGATGATCTGCAGTGGTATCCAAGTAGGCATGAAAACAGTTCCCCACCAACAATTTACTTTCTGAGTTAGTACATTTCATGTCTACTAGCTGCCATGAGATCTTGGCAGGTGATCCTCAGTTAGTCATCACGCTATCTCATGCTTTACAGAATTAACTTTATCGAACAAACTTGTAATTTTCTTAGAAAATGAACCAAAGTTTTCAGTCTTTTCTTCCATGAAATTTCTATCCTGTCATTCAGTATATTCCTATGGTTAGTATTTTATGGATTCAATCATCTGTAACATTTAACTTCATCCAGTTTTCTCTTTTGACCTGTGGTTGATATCAGGCTAAGCAGCAAATATTTTTTCCTTTACCTGCCTGGATCCTGACACAAGACCAGAACTTCTAAAGCCCTCTGTAATTTCCCGTGTGCTCTGAAATTAATATTTGTGGGCCACAGAATGCCTCTACCAGCAGTTTTAAAGCTCTTGAATAAGACCAGACCTCTTGATTTAAGAATGTGTATTCTTAAAAGATATTATTTAACATCTTCATTATATTAACATTCTTTAGTAATAAATGGACTGCTGGTCCATCTTCCTCTTGTGATATAATTTACCATCCTGTTCCTTCCCATACTGAGAAAAGAAATATTTATTAAATACATTTGCCTTATAGCAGCAGTGTTAATAATTTTATCACCACCATCTAGAAATGGAACTGTAGATCACTGTGATTTATTTTATTCCTAACATAAAAAAGGACATCTTCCCCAAGGTCTTTATTGACTTCATATGCTCTGTTCCCACTGAAATATAGTCATTTCTGTTTCCACTTCTCTTCATACAGTTTTTAATGAGTATTCTAATTGCTGCCATGCTGTACCACTGAACCAGGAAGGCTGGTAGCCAAAGTTGTCCTATCTTTTGATTGCAAAATCATAGTTCTGCCTCAAACAACCTCCCCAAAAGTTTTCCCAAGTTTCAGCCACATTTTGTCCATCCAAAATTTTCAAGCTGTCTACAAGACAAGTTAGAAATATTAACTTCTTCACACAAACCCTTCTATCCACTCCCCATGGGATGACAGGGATGGGGGAATGATGGGATGGGATTGATGGGATGAGATTCCTGAGTCCTTTTCTTTTCACAGACATTCCAATGCACCTCGAGGCAGCCATGGGAAGACGCCTGTTTCCCATAAGGGTCTGGGATTTGTGTCCTTCTGCCCTGCCCCCAGAGGTTCTGCTGTAAAACAGTAATGGACGTTCGTTCCTTCTCCCTTCATGAGCAGTGCGGAGATACAATGGAGCACACAACGGAGCCGTGCTTTGCTACCAATACTACAGACACCTGCCTCATTGGAAAACTAGTAAGGAGTGAGAAGCAGACAGCTTGCACTTTACATGGAGTCCCTCTTCCTGCAAAAGCAGAAGCAGCTTGACCAGCAAGAGTTAATGCTTTTGGGATGGGTGTTAACACCAGTTCTGCACTGTCTCTTGTACACTTTTCTGCACGAGGTGGCTTTGGCATGTCAGGAGTAGCTCACCCTCATATAGCTCGCAAAAATCACTGTCTGCCTCCTTACATATGACCATTCCTTATCTCCCTTTTTTTCTTTCTTCTTTTTAAAATCTCCCTTTCTTCAGTAATAGGCTAACTGCATGTCAGTTGTCCTGAATTATTTTTCCCTCTGTTGAGTCAAAGATTTTCCATATCTTTTGTGGATTTCTGGGTGTCTGATAAGCTTGGATGCTGGTGACTGCTCTGCACTGGGTGCAAACATGAGCAATAGTCCCAACATGTTTCAGCAGCATCAAGCATGCAGGCACTAGCTGTGCCATGCCTGGCCTGCAGGTTTGACCCTTCCTGGGGGAAATCTTACATAGAAGCAAGATTTCCCCTCCCTGGGTGAAGCTTTGGATGTGTAGGGACAATAATAATTGGACTTCAAGGTTGTGGCTGTTGCCTGGCTCTTGGGCTTCTCTGATCCCAGATGCAATGGCACCCCAAGCACACTTGTCAATGGTGCAAAGATTTGCAAGATCAAGACCACCAGAACGCATTTGCTGTACGTGACGCTTTGACTTTCCCTTAGAAGCAGCAGTCAGACCCGACATGTAATCACAGGAAACAGATATATCAGCTACACTCGCGGTCACACCGTAATGCCGTTGTTCCCTGGCTATTTGCAAAGCTTC